CAGTTTTGTTGTGTTAGCCATCCTAGATTGGACGCTGAATCAAGACTTGGACATAAGGTAGAGAAACATGGAAAGTCTGGCTGGAGAATAGCAATGCATGTATCTCACGGTAAAAGGCATAAAAGGACCTGAAAGTGCCAGGCTTTGGTGAAAAAAATGGATAGTTTAAAAAAGGTTATATGCTATAAGCAAGATTAAAGGAAATTAAATGGGAGGATTAAGGCTCAGGTTCCGCAATCTCATTTTCTGTTTCAATTCACAAACACCTCCTAAAATCCACCAGTGACTATTCTTTAAATAAAAAAAAAAACAGGAGGCATTTTCATCTCCATAACCTGTGGCTATAACCTTTATCATAGGAACTGTTCCTCTTGTGAAACAACTTTGAGTGCTGTGGACTCGTGCTCATTAGAGATGTTGATTATATTCACTCACATGTTTTGAATGAGTGGGTCTATGATTTTATGAGTGCAGTGTTCAGCTCTTGTCCAGGATGTGGACTTGCTGGAATGAGTTTGGAGGAGGATCACAAAAATAGAGTCCTGGATTTCTCCTGTGGAGACAGGCTGAGTTGGGATTGTTCAGCCTGGAGAAGAGAAGGGTCAGGGGAGACCTTAGAGCCCTTTCCAGTACCGAGAGAGCTTTGGGGAACGATGTTTTGCAACTTAGGATACAGGTTTCATGACTGCCAGGGAAAAGGCTGAAAAAGTCCACTGCAGGAATGCCTTGGTAAGGAGTAGGACTTCCATTTAATTTCAATATGATAGAATTCAAAGTTAAAAGAAGAATGTGATAGTTGTACTTCATAGGGAGTCATTTCCTTTAGAGAAAAATCATGTTCTAGTTTAAGCTTGGCCAAAAATCAGAATTTCCTGCTTTTGCTAATTATTTTCCTTTGTCAGGCATGGATCAAGGAATAGAGGAAACTCCAGACAAACTGCAGAGCCACACAACTTCTTTTGCATCACTGTAAACTACTTAAACGGTACTTCAACATGAATTAGACATTCTTCAAATTGTGTAAAGCATGTGTGCTTAAAAGCCTTTTTTAGGAGGTATTTCACTGCTTATGGGGTAATGAATAAATAATGGTTTGTCTAAACGTGTCACATTCCTTCTTGTTTAGTTATCCTTTCCTAAGTACTTGGGGAAGCCATGCTAGGCTAATTTTGTCATCTTTTCACTTTCTTAATGCTTTACAGCTCCACATTCCTGCCCTCAGTGGATCAGAGTACTTCACTGTATGGGGGCAGAAACACACACTGAGCTATCGTGGAGTTACCACAGGAGGTGCATTGAGGCAGGTGTGTTCAGTGCTTAGGATGTCAGATACAGAAATATCATTTAATGCCTTGATTCTTTAGGAGATATTGCTATTAGAGGACTTTATAGGTAGATAGCACTCATTTTTGTTGCTTTGTAGTGTTATTTTTTCCAAATTCATTATCTATAAGGTCATTTTCCAAGGTTGCTAGGTCTGAAATGACCACTTTTGGCAGCAGTTCCAACTGTCTCTTCATTTCATTAATTTTCTTGCTGAATCATGGATTTGTTCTGTAAAATACATATATCCAATTAATTCTTCAGTATAAAAAGCAGAAACTGCTCGTAAAAAGGAATTTTAGACTTTCAAATTACATTTGGCAGATGGTTTTAATGGTATTTAATTTCTTGTTTCCTCAAGTGGGGCTTCTGTTATTTAAATGTGTGGTGTCTTTAGCCTATGTAAAGAGGTAGGACTTGACATTCCAGGCATGCCTACCAATCCTCTTGGTCTCAGTACCTTCCGTGATTAAATACTGCTGGAATGGACGATAAGAGGCAGGACAGTAGGTCCCTTTCAGACCTTTAAAATGACAGTTTTAATGCTCTTCTTCTCCTGCAGTAGAATAAATAGTCCTGCCAAATACAGTGATCCGTGTCCTCCAGCAAGGACTGGAGAACATCACCGTTCATAGTCAGTCCATCAGCGTGTGAACCAGGTACGATCTTTTTTTATATGGATCACAGACTGAACTGTCATAAAATTAGATTTTTATATTACTAACTCTAATGTGACCCGAAAAAGCAGTGTCTAACAGAGCCACAAGATGGCACTTCTGCTGCATGGAACAGTTAAAGCCCAAACACTTTCAGGCTGGTAAAAATATAAAAGAGAAACAAACAAACAAACCCAACTTTAACCTATAGAAAAAAAGTAAACTTATTCTTGTGAACAACGATTTAAAGTCAGCACTTAAAAACACCAAATGGATGCCTTTCAACCTATCCAGGAGATGGACTTGGTGATCTTTTTCAGGATATTCTATGATAGAATTTCTGTAAAGCAGAAACTCTTGTTGCCTTGTCCAGTATCTCAAGCCTAAATCAATGTCAGTAAAGTCTCTTTAAGCATAACATTCAACTTTTCCATGTTTCCACGAACATTTCCAAAGTACCTGAGATACCTTTTGGTAAGGCAAGATGCGAACAAATACTGAAGTGTTTTATAGATGTATAGTCTGTATGGACTACTTCCTTTCAGAAAAGTTTAATGGAAGGTTTTAAGTCTGTTTGACTGTCTTGCATGTTCTTTTCTAGTCATGTCACTTTAAGTTTTTGCAAAATGTAATTACTTGGAGGAACTTTTTTTTTCTTCGTAGTGCGAATCTATTTCAGTTTCCCTGAATGTGGAGGCATCACTTGCTTTTTTGCGACTCACTTCTGGTGTGAGTGGTCCTAATTCAGTATAAAAAAAAATAAAAAAATATTTCCTTGCCAGTTGTCTCAAACTTTTCCCTTTGACTACACCTCTGTACTGTGGAAAGAGAATGCTTCTTCTCCTCCTTGTAATGAGGCCAATTCTGGGCAAAACGCTGGGGAAAGGGAGAAACTCTTACAACAGCATCAGGAAGACTTGTTTTAGCAGAAGGGTAATGGAATTTTATATTTGACTGATTTTTTTTTTCCTATCACTCAGTAATTAAGAGGCCTGTCCAGAAATTTTCAACTAAAATGTAGCAAATGCATGAGACTCGAAACAGCTTTCTGGTTACCTAATCAGTCTGGAGCCTTGTGTGAAAGCATGTGGAGTCATGGCTGGTGCACTTCACCCTTTGGATATTTTTTTCTCTGCTGTAGTGTTGGCCCACACTTGTGCCAAGCTCTGGGCTGTCTAGAAGTGGTTCAGCTGACACAAGTAAATGCAGAACTGTTGTGATGGTAAATCTGTTTTGAACTTCAGCCTCAGCTTTTCACATGGAATGGGCACAACTGGCTTAAGCTACTCAGCCCAAAAACCTCAGGTCTGTACTTTGGACTGACTAACAAAACCAGTATACGGCCATGGCTTTCACCTGGAGGTGGTCTAGAAAAGAGAAGAATGTAGGAAGGAGCAGAGTTGTAACATGTCATTGCAAGAGAAAAGAAAATTGTGAATAAAAACTGATGAATCATGCTTTGAGTCAATGCATTTCTGCACCTACGTGCCTGACAGATTTCTTTGGGCAAGAAAAGTACGCCTCCAGTTGCAGTTGTTTTAATTCTGCTTAATGTTGGAAAAGGGGCTTTATTAATGAGGATTGTATATTAGTTCACTTGCTCTTCAGTGACTATGCTCTGTTCTTTCTGAAATTGCTTTCAGAGCTACAGCAGTTCAGCCAGACCTTCCTATTAATACTTTATTAGAAGAAGCCAATTCTGTTATAAATGCCTGAAATTTGCTTTTCTCTCTGCTAGTATGTTCAACATATGCATGGAAGACTTCTGAAAGACTTTTTCTGCCTTCTCTGCAGTAGCTGTTGGATTAAGATGCCTTTTTTTTTTTTTTTTTTTGTAGTAGTAGTTCTTATTCAGCAGAGAAAACATCTTAATTGTTCTTTTTTTTTTCCTTTCATTTTTTTCATAAATGTCTTCCTGGGAAATGCTGCTTGATTATTACTTCCTCTTTTTAAAATTAACATTTCTAGCACTAATTCTCTCAGGGCAAATAACACTAACCCCGACTTCAGACAATGAAATTGAACAGGCTGATGATGCTTCTGCCTTTGTTGAAGACAGCTCAGCCCTGTTGCTTGTGTGGTAGCACCAGGATTACAGGACAAATTGTAGATTTAGGACAGAACGAACAGCAAAATGCTTCCAGGCAGAACTAAGTCATTAATCTGTACCGACGAAATTCCTTTTTATAAGAGGACAGTATTGTAATAGGAGTGCATTCAAGAACAAAGTTTACCTGCGGACATTAGGAGGCTTTGTTAAAGCAGTGTAATTGCTGCAGCTGAGACACCTCTGTAAAACTGGGCTGGTGTGATTTGATCCTGCTGGTTATGAGTGTCAGGTGTGCCCGCAGTGCTCGGATGTTCACTCCCCCAGAGCTGTGCTGGGATAACCTGCGGTTCCTGGGTGCACCTGACTCCTCATCTTCCCTCCCAGCTGGTGGGTCTGTGGGTGCAGAGTACATCACTGTGTAACTCGGATGTGCACAAAACTCTGCGTATCACAGATTATCGCCCCTAAAAAAAAAGGTGTAAACCAAGGCTATATCTGTCAAATGTTACTAAAGGCTGAGAGAGCTGGGGGTGTTCAGCCTGGAGAAGAGAAGGCTCCAGGGAGACCTTAGAACCTCTTCCAGGGCCTAAAGGGGCTCCAAGAGAGCTGGAGAGGGACTTTGGACAAAGGGATGTAGTGACAGCACAAGGGGAAATGGCTTCAAACTGAAGGAGGGCAAACGTAGATCAGATATTGAGAAGAAATTCTTAACTGTGAGAGCGGTGAGACCCCGGCACAGGTTGCCCAGAGACGCTGCGGCTGCCCCATCCCTGGAAGCATCCGAGGCCAGGTTGGACGGGGCTTTGGGCGCTCCGGGTCTAGTGCAAGGTACCCCTGCCCACGGCAGGGGGGTCTGAACGAGAGATGAACCTTCTCGCTCCCTTCCACCCCAGCCCAGGCCGCGGTTCCGCGCCCGCCCCGTCCCGCCGGGGCTCCGCCGGCCGCGCCCGCCCGCCCTGAGGGCGCTCCCCGGGGTGGCCCCTCACGGCCGCGCCGCCGGGGCCGGGCCGGGCGCGTTCACCGCTTTACGGCTGCTGAAAACCTCCCTGGGCGGGCTCGGGGCGGCCTTGCGGCGCCGGGGCAGCGGGGCGGGCAGGTAACGGGGCACCGGGGCGGGAGGGGGCGGCGGGACCTCCGCAGCTCCGGCCCCATCACGGCGGGGCGGGAGCGGCGCGGCCCCGGCTGTCAGCGCCGGGAGAACTTTGCCGGCTCCGCGTGTGTTTGTGTGTGTGTGTTTGTTTGTTTTCTAAAAGTAAGTCAGAACTCGGGGAAGCAGAGGCTGCGAGGGCTGCGGGCTGGGGCTGTTCGGGACGGAACAGGTAGATGAGCCTCGGGGATGGTCCCGCACAGCCCCGCGTCCTCCCGCTCGCTGCCCGTCCCCGGCTCCGAGTTACCGCGTTGAGTTACTCGCTGTTTTGGTATTTCTCTTCTACTTCTTCAAGAAATAGACGAGCATGGGTCTCGGCTGGATTTAGAAACTGAATTATGTGTTGAGTGATGCGCTAGCTCCTTTAAAGCTCTTTAAACACTAAAACAGAACCCCCCCACCCCAAACACAGTTCTCGGGATGTCGCCTGTGACTTTGTGGAAGCCTCCGGCGTTTGGGATGTGCGCAGGTGTCACCCGAAACACAGCCGGTCATTTCGCGAGTTTCAGTGCGGGACAACATTGTAGCCCTTCTGCCTCTCTTTCTCCATCCACGCGGAGCTCCTTGACTTCAGCAGGTCTCTGTATACAAAGCCCCCCCCATACCTCAGATAGCCTCAGCACTGTCATTAAACCTGCAAAGACCGTGGAGTTGACACTTGCAAACAGCGCTGAGAAATCTTGCTGACTTCAGCTGAAATTTGCGGCGTTGTTGCTGAGTCATCAGGACAGGAATATTCAGGGAAGAAATAAAGAACTTAGATTTTTAACCCTAATATGAACAGCCTGCTTCATGTTGGTTTATTTATTACTTGGTACGTATTTCTTGCGTTTACAGGCGAATGTATTTGTTCAGTGGTTAGCATATGGAAAGCATTAGATAACTGAAACTAACGATGCCAGAGTCCTGTATATCAAGCAATGCTGTGTGTATTTTTAGATTTTAATCTAAAGAGCTCTTGTATGAGTCCCAGTACATCTGTAATGCAGCATTTATCTCCACTATCATCAAAATACTAAAGAGTGTCTTCTGAATTTTGGTCATGGATCACATTCCTAGTAGATGTCTTAACTGTAGGATAATATACCATAAAGTTAATCAGTTGAAACAAGCCAAAGAATGATCTTTTGTAGCCGACCTTTTGCAGTTTTTTGTCAGTTTTTTCAGTTGGAATTTTTAAAATAAAAATTCTAGAGCTACCCACACACCACTTTCTTTAAAAAAAAAGAAGAAAATAATCCTACAGAAAAGCATTTTTCTGCAAGTTTCATCATATTTTTGTTAGTTTTAGTGTCTATCTAAACTTTGCAGTTTTGGGGTTTTTTTCACATCCTTAGAATTAAAATGGTTTTCCGTTGCTCAAACGAAGCAAAACTTCTGTTTGTGATAATTGGAAGCTGTTTTGTTTGCTTTGAAGAGCTGGGTCCAGATTTATCTAAAGCAGAAAAAAGGATTAAGTAGGAAAAAATCAGAATTGTCAAAGTTGATAAAAAGATGCTCGTGGTTCTCATGTGTGTCACAAGCTGCAGATTTTTTTTTGGTAGCAGCTCCCAGTAGTCATGCTGAATCATATGACTTTCAGCTCTGTTAATCTTCATAGTTGAAGTCTTAGCTTGTCATTACTGTGGTACATACCTGCATTATTTTCTCCCCCCTTCTTAAATAACCTCAGGGTATGAATACAAATTAGACAAAAATAGACCTTTAAAGTTCTTTTTCTCCCCCTTAATAAGCAGATTTATTTCAGAAGTGTAGTTCTTAGTGATTCACATGTAACCCTCTAGGGAACATGTGCTGTAGATCTTCATTATGGTAATTTGTCAAATAGACGTCTTCTAAACCCTCAGCCTCTTTTAGTGGCGATGTGGAGATGGTGCACTTGGGAACATGACTTAGTGGTGGGCTTGGCAGTGCTGGTGTTATGGTTGGACACGATGTTCTTACTTTTCCAGCCTAGAAGATTCTGTGATCAATTTAAACAATTCTCTTTATTCTTGAAGCCTTAGCAGCATGCTCATTAAAGCACTTTGTTTCTCCTCAAATATGCATCTGCTGTTTCTGTCAGTTGTGTATGCCTGGGAAATGATGCTGTGCAGGTAGAAGTAGGAAAGATCATTGTTCATCCTCCAGTAACTACATGGTTCTGAAAAAGAAGAAATCAAGTACAGCTCTTGCAGCCCAGGCTGAGTGCAGAAGTGCAGTTGTGTTCTGTCAGCCATCTGTTGGTCATTGGATCTGCTGGTCAGCTGGAATCTAGCAGGGAGAAACTAAGACTTGTGTATCTGAACACATTTTCAAGAAGTAATCAAATAGAGGTTTGTGAATGCTGCTGGTTCTGGTTTCTTGCACAAATGTGCTTGTGAGTGTGTGAGAAGCACAGAGTAAGTACAGGAGCTGAATAAAAGGATGGGCTATTATTTGTTAATGTTCATTCCTTGTGGTGAAAATCAATATAATGACGTTATTGACATTGGTTGTTGACCTCGTGAGCCTTGACTTGTGATTCAGACTGGTTAACTTTAAACTCCCTGTACTAGTAAGTACAGCATTCCACCTTTTTACAGGGCCAAAGGATTCAGCAATCAACAGTTTTGCTGGGCCTTCTCCTTGAAAATCAGAGGGATGTATCATCCACACACGTGTGTAGTGAGGAGGACATATCTGAGTCATCTGGAAAGTTGAATTGGTAGGATCATTGGGTCTGTTCCTTTGTTCTCACTTCATTTTCTTTTTTTAACTTCTCAGTTAACAATTTTCCATGTACATACAGATTATTTTATGGGTGGTCTTGAGGAAAAGCTTCAATCTATATATGACTGAGCAGAAAATGTACTGTGTCTTTGTGTTTGTCATTAATGAGATTGCTCCAAGAATCCTCTGTCAAGTTTAGGTGTTCGTACTTCAAGGAGGATGTTAAAGTCAAAGAGACTTCAGAGAAGTACTGTAACAATGAATAAGGGTTGAAAATAGCTCCTGAGGGAGAAATTCCAAGAGCTCAGTATGTTAAATATTATCAAAGAGGAAGGCAGGGAGGGATGTGTTTGCAACGTTTGTGTGCACTGTGAACAGAAATTCTATGATGAAGCAGAAAATGATGGGATATCAGGATCCTTTGGTTACACTATGAGCCAGACACATTTGCAGTAGAAATAAGAAATGTGTCTTCAGCAATGAGGGTAATTTATTGTACATTGTGGTCGGGTATTCATCAAAGAAAAATTTTAATTCAAATATGATATTTTTCATTTAAGATGTACCTAATTGAGGTCATGTGTCCATGTTCTGTGGAAGTCAGAGTAGATGATCAAAGTACTTTTTCTGTATCTAAATACATGCATTTACATAAAAAGACAATAATGAAATATGGTTCTTCAGCCCAGGAGACTGTTGAAATTAGAACTGACAGTTAACTCAAGACTTGTAATGTCTAAAATATCTGGAAACAATGAATCACAGAATAATTAGGTTTGGAAGGAACCTCTTCAGATCATCCAGTCCAACCCCAAAACAAAGATCTCTAAAACAAGAACTTGTTTTAACTGTACCAAAGATTGAAGATTGCAAAGTTGTGTTGGTGAGTAATTCTTCAGCAATGGGAAGATGTCTTCAGACTGAATTTCTGCATTAGTAGGTCTTGGCCATTTTAAATACTGAATTAGCATGCCAGTTCCTAAGATTCCTTAAAAGTTTTCATGAAAATACTGTGGAAATTAAGGTGGTTTAAGTTTGGAATCTGAAAAAAAAGGTGAAATTAAAAAAAAAATAAAATAAAATCCTGCTGTCATGGAGTAACTTTTACAGAAGAGAACCCTTGGGCTGTTACAGAAAACTGCTGATTACAACAGGGTGGTTACAGAAGAACCTACTGTGTGGGAATTATTGAAGGGTTTGCAAGGAGGGATTTGTAGATCCTGCAGAGATTTTGGGGAAACCTGTGTTATAATGCATTATCTCCTGTGGTGAAGAGCCAGCAGGAATGTTCTGAGGTCTTTCATGTGCTCAGTTTTTACATGCCTTTAGCAGTCAGTGCTCTCAGGTCTCAGGCTTAGTGGCACTGTAGGCAGCTGTGCTGGTTTTGCCGGGGATAGAGTTAATTTTCTTCCTTGTAGCTGGTACAGGGCTGTGTTTTGGATTTGTCCGGGAAATGGTGTTGATAATAAAGGGATGTTTTGGTTATCGCTGAGCGGTGCTTACACAGAGCCAAGGCTTTTACTGCTCCTCACCTCACTCCCACTCCACCAGCAAGGCCCAGGGAGTTGGGAGAGGACTCAGCTGGGACAGCTGATCCCAGCTGACCAAATATATATATATTCCAGACTGTATGGCATCATGCTCAACATAAAATTGGGGGAGAAGAAAGAAAGGGGAGACATCTGGCGTGATGGTGCTTGTTTTCCCAAGTGGTGTAGCCTTGCTCTCCTGGGGATGGCTGAACACTCGCCTGCCTATGGGAAGTGGGAAATGAATTCCTTGTTTGGTTTTGCTTGCGTGCACAGCTTTTGGTTTACCTGTTCAACTGGATTTACCTCAACCTGTGAGTTTTCTCATCTTTACTCTTCTGATTCCTTCTCATGGGGAGCGAGTGAGCGGCTGCATGGGGCTGAGTTGCCAGCATTAACCTTCTTGTGGGGGTGAAACCACAACAGCAGCATAAGGAGAAATAAGAGTTGTACATCAGAATAACAAATACATCCGAATAACCTCCTTTTGACGCAGTTTGACAGGATGAGCAGAAATCAAGCTGAAGAGCAAGTCAAGATATGCCTGTCTTGTACAAACACTTCAGCTCTGTGGAGAACGTGTCAGGAATCAGCCTTCAGTGTGATGGGAGATCACCAAAATAAATGAGGAGGACCTAAGCAAGCACATATCACTCAGTGAAACCAGTCTTTTTGCTTAAATCCCTGAAGGTACTGAAGCAATGACCAGAGGTTTGATTAAGGGGCATG